GTGATTTAATGCCATGCAGGAAGAGGGAATCGGAGGATACAGTACTGGCAAGACAGTGGCCGAAACTCCCAGCATTCTGGGAGGCTGATGCAGGAAAATAGAAAGTTAGAGCCCAGCTAAGCTTAATGACTGACACACACCTTGTCTGGGGGAAAAAAAAAAGATTGGAGATGTAGTTCAAGGTGAAGGCCCTAGGTTCAATCCCCAGGCTATCAAAAAAAAAAAAAAAAAAGTGGCTGAAGGCTGGAGCATTGATCAGCGGGTACACACTCAGAGAAACACCGCTGAAGCCAAGAAGTGGGTTCAGAATGAGGAGTCAAGGACTTAGAGGTCTGTCCTTGGCCACAGAACAGGAGTGTGGTCTGCAGTCGGCAGGAGGGCCAGGAGGATGTGGTCGGAGTAGGCCGCTCCAGTGGGAGGCCAGAATGTTGGAAGTCTCTGAAACCTCCATGGGCCAAACCAATGGCTCACGGGAGGGTGAGCATGGACTGTACCAAGTGAGCTGAGGTGGTGTGCACACTGGAGTCTAGGGTGGAAATGGAGTGAAAGGTTGAAAATGGCAAAGGTGTAGGTTACACCGCTGCCCTATAAGGCACAGGAGGATGTTTTAAAGTCTCCCCTGAAGAGTAGCATGCAGTTGGGAGCTTCAGCTCTGCTCTACATCACCTGGGGTTGAGTCCAGGCACATCCACCTGTGAGCACACCTGTCTCACACCTGAGGGATGGGGTGCAGGCCCTCCTCCCTATGTGACCCTTGGCCAAGCAACTTCACTTCCTGAACCTCAGTCTCTACATTCATAAAATGGGGACCACAACAGTGTCTAGCTCACAGGGCCGGTGGCAGATGTTAAATACAACACTATAGTGTGTGGGGGCGCACGCCTGTAATCCCAGCACTGGGGAGGCTGAGGCAGGAGGATCGTTGCGAGTTCGAGGCCAGCCTGGGCTACAAAGTGAGCTCAAGGTCAGCCTGAGCTGCATAGCGAGACCCTGTCTCAAAAAGACAAAAACAAAACAAAAAAAAAAATTCAAATACCACACTACATGAAAGTATCCTGACCATCCAGTGGCACCCGCTGGGCCTGGCATGAGATTAGTATCTACCAGCCCTTAGGTAGATGGGCTTCAAATGCACACAATGTGTTGGACAATGTAAGGTGCTAATGGGACCATTTCCAAATGTGAGACGGGACACTGAGACATAAATCAGTTAGGGAAGCGGTCGGAGCTACTCTGAACCCAGGCTCCAGAGCCTCCACACCCAATCCTCCATCTGGTATACCGCCCCCTTTTCTATAAAGCCTGAGTATCCCTTATCCAAAATCCTTGAGCCCAGAAATGTTGCAGATTTTTGCACTTTTTAAAGTTCAGGATACTTGAGGTAACTTGGAGGTGGAACTCACTTCTAAACACACATTTCCTGTGTTTCATATGCTCCTTATACCCAGAGCCCAAAGGTCGTCTCACACAGTATTTTGAGTGCGGGTTCTGTCAGGCGTCTCCTGAACTGAGGCCTGTCACATGCGGTTAGGTGTGGGATTCTGCACTTGAGGCGTCTTGTTGATGCTCACAAAGTTTCGGATTTTGCAGGATTTTAGGTTCCAGATTCCAGGTAAGGGATGCTCAGCCGGCCTTTCCTCTCCATGGTTTATACAGAATCATCCTTGGCCACCAAAAGGCAGCCCGGTGCCCACTGGCCCCTCTTTCCTGCCCTCCATCGGCAGATCAGGGAGTTGCCCTTGCTTCTTCCTACCGCTCTGGTCCAGCATCCAGGCCAAACGTCTCCAAGGTCCACCCTTCGCATCCAGCTGAGTCCAGCTTCCTCACCTGGAAAGCGGGGCTCTAAACCCACCCCACGGGGCTGGTACAAGGTTCCCTCATGGAGCGTAATGTGCGTCCACAGCTGGGGCAGGTGTGACACACAGTCAGACCCTAGAGTTGCTCCTCCATCCTCCTGCCCCACCCCTACCCCTAGACCTGTCCTGGCCGAGTTGGACCATTGCGATTGGCCCGGTCACCTCCTGTGGACTCCTCACCGGTCTCCTGGCGTCTGCCCTGGCCCCTAGTGACAGCCAGAGGATCTTGTTCAAGCAAGAAACAGAGGACAGGCCCAAGTCTCTGCACGTTAGCAAAACTCCCAAGATATCTGACGGTCACTGGCTCAAGAGAACCCCTGGTCTCCATGCGCTGATCCTACGGTCCTTTGCCACCCTTCTGACTTCATCTGCACTCCGGCCCCACTGGCCCCAGGGCCTTCGCACTGGCTCATCCCTTCACCCAGGCCCATTTGTTGCCCACATTATCTAGCTCTCACTATCGCCTCATTCAGGTCTTTGCGCCGTTGGACCTTTTCACGTGCGCCTCGTCAGATCACCTAATTTGAATTATCACCCCATGCCCTTCTCCGTTTTCCCCCACAGCACCGATCGCCATCCGAGACCCTGAAGTACTGCGGGACCGTTTGTGTCTGCGCCCCACACACCCAATGCAAGGACAGGAAACTGGCAGATCGGGTCCCAGCTGTACTCCCAGGGGGTGCCCATCATATTCAACAACCACCTGTTGACATCTTGCACCAGCTTCTCCCGGCCTCTGCTGAACCCGGCATCCACATGTCCAGCTGCCCCCTCGACGTCCAGGGCACCCACACCATCACTGCATCCTAACCCGCCTCATCCTCGGTCCCCACTCGGGCTCTGCTCCACACTCCTCGTCCCCTCAGGGATGACCCACAGCCCACTGAGCCCTGCGGCCCGGCCCCAGCCGGGCCCTCAGATCCAGGCCCCAGCGCACTGTCCAGCCCCCGCCTCCTCCACTCTCCTCCTAGTCTGTCCCACACACCCAGGTCCACACCTTGTCCCTCGTCTCCAGTGATAAGACAGCCCACATGGGGAGGAAGGGCGTCTCCCTAGCCCCGCAGCACCTCCTTCCAGCTCCGGGGCTCCTCAGGTCTCCTGTGGGGCTCGGGGATCCCCACCTGGCCCCTGAAGAATGCCCCAGAAGGATGGGATCTTCTCTCCCGTTGAGGAGTTTTGACATAAAGTGTGGTGGGAAGGAAAGAAACCCGTACAGATGTAGAAACAAATCCTGAGCTCCAGACCTAGGCAGTGGTCAGTTTACCCTAAAAACAGAGCCCTGTGGTCCCCCAGAAGCCCTCTGTCCCTACCACAAAGCCACTCTCCGGCACCTTGGGGGTCAGGGCAGTGTGGCATGGTGACCAGGTGTGATGCCTGCTATCTGCTATGCTAATGCTGCCTCTCGTGACACTTGCTCCTCCAGGGCGACACGCGTCCCACCACGCCGCCACGGGCGTGTGCTCCTCCACACAGCACACACGTGTCTCGCCAGCCCAAGGCTGGCGTGTGTGCTTGTCCCACAGGAGTCTGGCCCCGTCTCTCCTCATGGCTCTCACCTCCGCAGTCTGCTCCACAGTCCTCCCTGGCTCCCCGCCCCTCACTGCTTTAACCCTGAGGACAACGCGCAGGTGTCTGTCCTGTCCCGGAGAAGGCCACCCTGGGAAGCAAGGGAGCCGTCCCACTTCGCTAGACGGGCACGCTGAAGGCGGGTGAGGAGCAGCGACACCGCTAGACCTGTCACAGCCAGTCTGCGTGCACGAGACCCCGACAGGGCTCGGACCCCGGGTCTCCTCCTTCTAGCCACCCTCTCTACCATCAGTGACCCCGTCTGCCTCTGTACCTGTCCCGGCGAACAGCCTGTCTCACTTGGGTTGCCGAGGTCACCCCTCAAAGACGGTGGTCAGCTCCCAAACCCAGAGACCCCGCCCCAGTCCCACGGGCTCTGAGCCCGAACTCCAGGAGACACTCACCCTGGGCAGCGGCCTCCTCCTGGAGGGACATCGTCATCTGGGTGAAGGTGTCGTGCAGGTGGCTTCTCTCCTCATAATCTGATGGTGGGCGCGGGTCAGGGGCTGGGGAGGCAGCTCCACCCAACCGCGCGTCCCGGGAGGAGACGCCCCGAGTCTTGCAGGCTCAGCCTGGAAGTGCCCAGTGTCCTGTCTGCGTCTCTGGCCCCTCTCCCTCCTACCCGCCTCCCTGCTGCCCAGTCCAGGCGTCTCTCCGCTGCCCCCTTGCCCTGACTCTGAGGCGGCCCTCACTGTCCTTAGGCTCTAGGCGTTTGTCTCTGCCTCCCTCCTCCAGTCTCCCAAAGCCTGGCCAGTCCCTCCCCAGGGCCTGGTCCGTGTAGGAGAGTCTCCCTCCTCACTGATTTCCATGTCCGAGAGACCCTGAAAGGCAGCAGTGAAGGCTTCCTCGCACTGGTCAATCTCGGGGCCCTGCGCCCCAAACAGCCTACAGATGCCAACGCGCTCCGTGTAAGTCGTGAAGCACAGGAGACAGGCCCACGTGGATGCCCTGAGCACCAGCAGGGCCCGCAGGCCAGCCGGGACGGCACCCATCAGGGCCAGCAGGGCCGCGGAGGGTCTCAAGGCCTGAGCAGAAGCTGGTGACCTTTGTGAGGTCACTGCAGGAGGGGGCGGGGCCGGTGGCCAGGGATCAGAGGTCAGACGTCAGGCTCAGGAAGAGGGGGTCAGGGGTTGGCCTGCAAGCCCTAGGTTTGCGGTCGGGCCAGACGCCAGGCTCCCAAGAACCTCACCTGTGACCCTGGACGTCTTCACAGGTTAAAGGGTCTCAGGGACCCAGAGGCTGGCAATGCAGTGGTCCTGACAGGCCCTGGTTGGGGGCAGGAACAGAGAATAGAGGCAGACACGGGACACTCGAAGTGCCACAAAACTAAAAGACGGGAAGAGCCGCTGGGAGGGTCGAAGACCGGAAGCCAGAGGGAATGTTCCGCAGACAGATGAAGCCGCCATGGTATGAGAGGCAGGGGGTGCAAGAGACACAGAGACAGAGAAGCAGGGTGACACAAAGCACAGGAGGCTGGGGTGGGGTTAGGGGAGCTAGCCTAGCCCCTGCCAGGGGCCCCCGCCGCCCCGTCCCGTGCAGGGCGCAGCCTGGGGAAAGCTAGGAGGCCGTATAGTGATCTCCTTGGGTGTCCTCCTCAACTATACAACCTCCTACCTCAGCCCGGGGGGCGCGGCAGGTGGACAGATCGGACAGATGGACAGATGAGGTGGGGGGCCGGGAGGGCCGGGGAGGGCGGGGAGGGCCGGGGAGGTCCCAGCCGCGATGGTGAGCCCCCGACACGGACCCACAGACACGAGCTTGTGTGTGGCGAAGGCCCCGCAAGGTCGGTTCTACGGGTGGGTGCCAGGACCCAGGAGTCCAGGCCCCCGGCCCCCTCCTCCCAAGGAAGCTAGGAGTCCAGGCCCCAGGCCCCTTCCTCCCAAGGAATGCCAGCGTCCAGGATGGAGTCCTGTCCTTCCCAGGAGTTCTGCCTGTCGTCCTGTCCCTCCTAAAGAATCCATGACTACAGGCCCCGCCTCCTGCCTCAGACCCGGGGTCCAGGCCCAGCCTCCTCCCTCGGTGCAGGTCCAGCCAGGTACTTCCCTCCCGGAGGAGACACAGCCTGAGAGCAGATCTGGCTTCCTGGGTGTCGAAGGCAGGGACCCTCACCCATCCCACCTTCCTCGAACTCCCGGCTGGGGCGGAGGGGGACCTGGGGGTGTAGAACCTTCAAGCCTCCCCCATCATTTCTTCCCCATTCTCCTCCCTGCTGTTGGCCTCCCGACGCTTATGACGGTAACAGCTTTAGTCCCCAAGAGCTGTCACCGCTCTGCCCCGAGTCCCTGCTTCTCCGGCACCTCCCAGCCCAGCCATCGAGGCGCTGCTGCGGCGCCCCCATCTTGCAGGTGAGCAGGGGAGGAGGCTGGGCCCGGGGAGGGGGAGCGCCGGCCAGGGCGGGCCCGCCGCAGGTGGCTGGGGCCCGAGGAGGAGCCGCCGCCCGCCGCCGCCCGCTCCCAGCCGGTCCCCAGGGAGTCTCCCCGCATCCAGCCTGGGGCGCGGGCTCCCCCTCGGCCTGGATCCATGTCTACCTTCCTGTCCCTTTCTCTCGGCGCCGCTCCCTCTCACCCTGTTCCTCTCTCTGCATCTTACCTGACCGTGTCCCCCCCCTCGCTCCCTCCGTCCGTCCGTGCGTCCCGGTCTCGCTCCCGCCGGCCTCTCCCTCTCCTTTCGCTCTACCTGGTTCTGCCTTGCATCCTCCCTTCTCCTCCCACCCCGCTTTGTCTCTCTCCTTCCCCTGACCCTCTCGGTCTCGCTGCCTCAATTTCGCTCTCCCTCTCCTCCGCTCTCCGCTCACCCTCTTCTCCCCCCGCCCCTCTGTCTGGCCTCCCGCTCCCTCCTCCCCGCTCCCAGCCTCCTTCTCTCCGTCTCTGTCTCTCTCCCTTTCTCTCCCGGTCTCCCTCCCTCCCTCCCCTCCCCCACCTCCTCTCTCCCTTTTTCTCCTTCCCTCTCTCCCTCCCCCTCGCAGCTCCGAGCCAGGTCTGGAGTTGGGGGTGGGGTGGGGGTGGTGGAGCTGGGGCCCTGGGCTGGGGTAGCGACGTGCTGGCCAGAGGCAGGCCTGCGGCCCTCAGGACGGGGAGGGAGGCTGAGGGAGGGGGGGAGGGGGCGGGGGCCCCGACCAGCCTGCGGTCCGCACCGGCCCCCTTCCCTCCCGCAGCCTCCCAGACCCTCCAGCGGGGGCGACAGTCAGGCCAAGGTGGGGAGGAAGGGGAAGGGAGGAGCCCCCCCAACCTGGCCCGGAGCCCGGCTCGGGCTCCCAGCATGCCCCGGGGCTGCCTGGGGCCTGGGGCGGGGGGAGCGAAGGGGGAGGCGAGAATCTTCAAGATTCCCGGGACCAGAGCACCCTCACCCCCACCGCCCCCGGTCAGTTTCTCCTCGGGGAAACTGAGGCCCCGAGAGACGGGTCAGGACTCGTTCAAGGTCACTGGACAAGGCGTGGGCGGAACCCCCCCACCCGCCCAGGCCTGCTTTGGGGAAGGGGTAGGGGCCGGACTTCCCCAAGGTCTGGGGCCCCCTCCCCCTCTTGGCGGACCCTAGGGAGCCCCCAAGGGTCAGAGAGCAGACCCAAACAGTCTGGCACCATAGCAACCAGCTGGCCCCGCCCCCTTAACCCCTGGAGGGCTGGACTCCAGCTGGGGCTAAGGGGGAGGCGGGGACTCCGGGGATCCGGCCCCCCCCCCCCCCCCCCGCCCCAGTCCGGGCGGCGAGGTGCAAAGATGCTAGGGGACCCGGGTTCCTGCGTGCTCCAGGAGGAGGGCGCTGCGGTCCATGATCCGCGAGAGCAAGACTCGGAGGGGGTGGGGCTGCAGCGTGGAACCCCAGGTGCGAGTGAAGAGGAGGCCCGGGGCCCCGACGCCGGGTCCTGGGGAGACGGCGGATGCTGGAGTCCGGGAAGGGGCTGGGTGGTGGACTCCGGGTCTGATGAGAGGGTCGGGGCCTGGAATCCCGGGTCCCCAAGGGAGCCGGGCCGCTGGGCCTCTCCCCCGCCAGACATCCCTTGCCCTCGGCGCTGACCCGGGCCTGTCTGGCAGCCCAGACAGCCTCCCCTCCTCCCCGGCCCCCTCCCGCTCGCCAGGCTCACCCTTGACCCCTCCGAGCCCGCAGCCCCATCGCTGCCCCTCCCCCTCGCTGCGGCCAGACATTAACCCCCTCGCGGCCGGGGCGCCGCCACAGCCAGACGCCGGCCTCCACCTCCCCAGAGGTCCCGGGCGCCTCGCCCCCACTCCGGCCCTTCCACCCGGCCCCGCCACGCTCCCGCCTCTGGAGGCCAGGAGGTGTTCCCAGCCCGTGCACCGCCGGACCGGAGTCCGGGTCCCCAGCCCCCTCCTCCTGGGAGCCGGAGTCCGGGCTCCCGGCCGCACTGCACCCCCAGACCCTCCTTCGCGACCCCGCCAGCCCAGGCCCCGAGCCCTCGCCCTGGGAGCCCGGAGCCCGGCCGGCCGCAGCCCTCGG